TATTTATTAATCGAAATATTTGAAATAATCTATGTATCTATTATTAATTTCTTATTCATGCTGATTTATGATTCTTATAACCTGATTTTCTGAAAATTTATATACAAATATTGATTATAAATTAATAGTCTTACCTGAGCACAAAGTTGTATGGTGCTCTTGCAAAGCGCAGAGTATACAAGGCGGCCCCCAAAAGTCCAGGTCGATGATCGATGTCGGATTGATAATTGATACCGGATCGATAATTGACATCAAGTCCGGGCCGATGATCGACCCAGACTTTGGGGGGACTGCCCTGATATACTCCAAAGCGCATCTGCTTTTCCATCGAACCGGTCTTTAATTTAACCAATATCTGGATATTAAAAAAAAGTTAGATTTTTAATACTCAGATGGTTGGTTTTAACTGGATCAGGTCATATCTCAAAGATTCAATTCTTTCAGAATTGATTTTACACAGTGCATTGATTAATGTATTTCATTCTTCTGATTCGTGTTCATATTATAAAAAAGCCAGGAAAGTGTTCTTGTAAACGCATTTATTAATGCTTTTTTTCTTCTATTGCTCTTGCAAGACATATTTGCTAAGGAAGTTTATTAGAATATGAGTCAGCATGGTGTTCTTTTGCTAATGCTTTTCTACTTCAATTCAAAATATTAGTATTCAATTCTGATTGATCAACTCAAATACTGCGCCTCATATAATTAAATTCTTCCCGGGCTCAATGACCCGGCCGGGTTATGAGAACCAAAAAATTAACTTTGCCTGGCCTTATATAGATATGTATAAAAAAATTTGAATCGGTTACTAGCATGTATACAACTTTACTGTATATAGACATATGATATTTTAATTAATAAAAAATTATTGGTTTATTTTTCGATTTTTTATTGATCGTAAAGATAACTTGTCCGCGTGATATGCGATGGTTAATTTAATTGGGTCAGGCCAAATAAGTAGATTATTAAATCATTTAATTAATGGAAAAAACTTCAGTTTTGAATAGATGCACGTACGTACGTACGTACGCATGTAGTGCAACAATGACCATTCCTAAGTTCATGGAAAAAATTCTTAATTTAAATAATGAATTTATTCTTTTTACAGTTAAAAAATTACCTAAGATAATTTTTTGCTGCTGAATTTTTATAACCCGACTGTCGTTGTAGGTGTACCAATCAAATTGATTTATTAAATTTGCTTTAACATATAACGAAATCATTTTTTGCAATATTTGGTATAAAATAGGCAATGCTTAGAATGAAACGAATTCGTTTTATGTTAAATTTAACATGAAACAAGTTTTTTTTTTATGTTATGTTTAGCATAAATGATTTCATTTTAAGTTAAGCATAAGATAAATTCAAACATAAGATAAATTCATTTTATGCTAAATAAACCAAATTCATTTTGCACTAAAATAATTCATTTTGCTAAGTTTATTATTCTTAGCATAAGCTTGGTAAAAAACAATAAAATTTATCTCTGCCTAAATCGATATATCTACACAATATCAATATAATGTCGGCATAGATAGAGATGCTTATTAAATTGACATCTGGATATATCGACAATTTTTTCATTGCTGGAGAATGTCGATATAACCAGAGTGACGTGTATTCGTGCGCACTTATAAGCCGACATTGGTGCAAAATGTCAATTCCTATTCTTTGGCAGGATCCATTCTCATCCAAAAAAAAACCTTTATTCATTTTTAACTATTTTTCGTCTCTTGGCGATGGCGAAGACGAAACACTGTTCAATTATGCAAGTTCTCAAATTATTCAGTCTAGAAAGTAAGGTTAAAAACGGATTGCCTGGTAGAAATTTTATGTGACTATAACCACGTCACGTGATTATAGCGAGAGCTAATGATTAGTATATAGTCTCAAGAAATTGCGACTACCATGGGCGGGAGTAGACCGTAAAATTAATTTACTATTTAAAGTTAAATTATTTATTGAAAAAATGGTGCCAATCAACATAAATTATTTTTATACTTTCTGATTTTTTGAAATCAAACCAGAGATCTTTTACTTAAAACAAAATGAGCAACTTTTCTCACTTCAAAATTTATCTTTGGATGCTCCAGCTTTGAAAATGTTACTACACTATTAAGAATCATGACAAAAACTATTACGAAAATTAGTGCTTTAGATCTTGTCGAATTTTATTCTGATTATGCTGGGCAACAATCTTATATGTATTATTGCGCTTTGCAAAAAGATGTGGCCTCTGTAGGTCGCAATGTCGTGTGGGAATCGGAGATTCTATCGATTTTAGAATTTTATCAATTTTAAGAAATATAAACATAACCATTCGAAAATATAAAACAACAAACAATCCAAAATCTCGGAAATTTTCCCTGAGCATCATCACAGAAATCATGCGGTCACATCTTCGCAATAAGCCACAAGAGCAACTTAAGCAATAGATGGTTTTATGCACTTGATTCTTAATAATAATAAAAAACTATAATTATCATTATAGAATAAATTAAAAAGCTTATCTTGACTCGAGGTTTATATTTAAATATGCTAACAGAAGGTTTATTTAATTTATTTATTTAAGCAAAACACAAAAGTGATATTTTTATTGAGAACATTAGATATTATTACATAAGAGAATATTTATGTTTTTAAAACCCTTAAAAATTATTCTGTGATCACTATCAACGAATGGTGACATATCTTATAGGTCGGTAACGAAATGTCACAATTTGGAATCATGTTTTCATAGGCTCAAAGTTTAATAAGTTTCACAATTTAAATTTTCTGTTACGAATAGATGCATTGATATGTTGTATAACGGTCGCGTAAACACATGTTTCCAGACTTTTAAGGATGAATAAGAAGTATAATCGGGATTCATGTACTGTACGTACGTATATATAAGTGTTGAGCGAATATTAAGAAGAGCCGGCGTCTTTTTTTTTTTCTCCTAACCAGAATTTTTTTAGTCTGTTCTTTCTTGTGAACGAACAAATAATTTCATACACATAAATAAATGTGGCTGTTATTTACACCCCTAAAAATCCAAATTTGAGCGAAAATATCTCATTAACAACTTAACTAACCAAATTTGATAATTCTACGAATATATACAAGAATTGAGTAAAAAAAATTTCCTAATTTGAATTTAGTTAGATGATTGTCAAATGTCTTCGATTAAAAATTTTAATTAAAGTGTATTAAAATAGAGCCCCAATTTTTTAAAAAATTTAAACGAAGATATTTTTGATAACAGTTAACAATTTATTAAATTCCACAAAAAATAATAATAAATTTTAATTATACGTATACAGTGTATTTGTAAAATCAATAAAATTTGTTTATCAAATTTAATTTAGTTAGGTAATTACTGTACTGTATCAAAGATATCTTAAAGGTTTTAAAATAGAATCTACGAAAATTTTTTTAAAACTTAAAAAAGAAATTTCGGTAATTACCAATCCAATTTAACAAAATTCTTTATTTAATTCTAAGCAAAATTGGGTGTGTTGCTTCAAAAATGGGAATTGCTTTATTGGATACTTGCGTAAGTATGTCAGAATAATAAAAATGTTTTTTTTATCAAATTTGAATTGGTAGTTGTCAAGATATCTTAAAAATTTTATCGCGGTTTCTACTTAATCAATTTTAAATTCTTTTTAAGATGTCTCCTCAATAAGAATTTTATTTTAATTCTGTATATTCGTAGAGTTTTAAAGTTAAAATATGTATATATAGATTATTTCAAATTTAAGTAGGTGATTATCGTCTAAAAAATTTTTGTCGATCTTAAATTTCTTTAGCAAAAAATTTTGATGATACCTTCGTAGAATTAATTCAAATATACGTGACGACCTTGACATTGGTTTACAAGAGGCTCAAAAGGATGAATATTTCTGCAGGAAATGACACGGTGCTTAAGCAAGAATCGTAGTTCTGGAAGTTCTTGAAGAATTGAAGTATAGCTCCTTAATGGATAGAAGAAAAAATCTTTTCATCGAACGATAGAGAATTAAGGCCAGGTGAAGAAATGAAGAAATACTAGGGTAAATTCTTTGCGACTATAATGACTCGCTCTAGGCACTTCTTACCGCGTCACTCAACATCTGGATATAACGGCATCATAGTAAAATCTTTCTATATCGGAATTTTTTTAAAAATATTAATATAATGTCGGTACAACACATTGTATCGACATGTTTTTTTTACTAATAACCAGAATGACGTGTATAGGTTCAATTTCGAAAAGGTCAGAGCAATTACCAAATTTAAAGAGCCAGCGAAAATTTTATCTTACATGGGGAATGCACCAACAAGTTTAAGCCTGGAAATATAAATTATGTGGGTTATCAAGATTCTGAAATCAATGTAATATGTGGTCTTAAAGTCAATCAGCGCCTGACTCACGTGACAGTAGAGGGTAGAAAAACGAGTCAAAATGGTAAACCAATGCATACGCGTGAACAAGAGCAGTAAGACAAATAAAATAACATATTTCTCTCCTGGATAAGATTGTACTTACTAGGTTTGATAGACTTCATTTCTTAGTTGCGTTACGTGATATTTTAAGTTTCAAGACGAACCTTTAGATCGTCTGGTTTTTTTTTATTATAATGAAAATTTTTTTTTTAAAGAAAAAAACGGGAATTTTGTTGAAATATAAACATCTCAGATGAAACAAAAATGATAAAATGATCTAATGAAATGATAATTACAAAAAAAAAAAAAAAAAAAAAAAAGGAGAAAAAAAATTACATTATCAGAATTAGTAAAAGTCACGTAAAAAAATAATGTACAAGTTAATTTATTACAGTGTCTAAAGTGGCCAGTAATAATTAAAAAAAATTTTTTTTCTAAATATCTATTTTTTTTTTTTTTTTTTTTTTTTTAAAAGAAAAAAAAAAGATATATATATAAATACAATGAATATTAATTCATGTCCCTTTTTCCTTCTCACCCATCAAAGGAAATTTCACCCAATATAATTAAGGGTCCATGAAATTAAGTATTTAATTATTGTCGTCTTGATCAGTAATATCCGGATTAACAACCCTTAATTCATTTCTTGATACCAACATCGCGCTACTTTGCATTTGGACATCCAAACCTCTACCAATGTTCATAATATTGATGCTTCCATCATCATCATCGTCGTAGTCGTCGTTGTCATCATCATCATCATCATCATCATCAAAACTATTTTCAAACCTTAACGAACTCAATCTCCGAGACCTACTACCACCATCTTCTGTTTCCATTCCTGTCCGTGTTATTATGTCACGCCCTGATACACCGTTAATCACATTAAGATCATTAGTGTTACCAAGTTCAACTTCTAAACTTCCTTGAGGATGATGTCCTTTGGTATATACAACAGGAGTTATAGTTATATTAGTTTCACTAAATTTTACACTACGTCGTTTTCCATTTTCAGGATCAGCAGGTCTTATATCATTGTTACTAGTATTTCCAAGTAAAGTTTGAGCAAATATAGAATTTTGTGGTTGAGTCATTTGTTCTTCAGTGTCTATTTGATTTGAAGTATCACCTTCGTTATTAAAACTATTAAAACGAAATAGTGCGGATAAGAAACTACTATGTCGTGATCTACGTGTTTGTGATGAAGAGTCAATATTATTATTGTTATTAATATTGTTATTATTATTTTGTGGAATTGAAGTTCTTGAATATGGTATTCCTACTAATATTGAACCATTTGATATTTTACGTTGATGATTAATGTAATATATTATAAATGCTATTATTGATATGCAAACGATTAATAATAAAACTAATAATCCTATAGCCAATCCCTTTGATATGCTTATTTCTTGATCGTCATTTTTAATTGGATTTGTAGAGGTGATGGTTGGAGAAGCAGTAGCCGAAGTCCAAGTTGGAGTTATTGTTGTTGTTGGAGGAGTTGTTAAATTTCTATCAGGTGGAAAAGATTGTGGAACGTAATTATTTACCCACGTCCAATTTAATAAATTTAAACAATATATTTGATTATCTATGTTTCCAGGGCCTGCTCCAGGACTAATTATTCCTAAATATATTTAAATTTCAAAATTTTAAAATTTTAAAATTTGAGAAAAGAAAGGATGATAGCATTATTGAAGGACAGAAAAATCGTACCAAATGCAACGATCATATTAGCACCAAAGATTGTTGCCGAATGTTGAGAACGATTTACAGGTGTATTATTTGTAGGAGGAGCAACCCAGCTCCAATATGTCGTATCAAGAACTGCAACGTCTCCAAATATTGTAGTGTTATCTATACCAGATCCACCGTATATTATAATAGAATTCTTTAAAACTATATATATATTAGTAAACTTGTTTTAAAAATTATCGTCTCAGTTGAGGACGAGATTGACAGAAGCTGATAATTGAAGTCTCTAAAAATTTGAATCAAAAATTTGAATCAAAAATACTTAAATCAAAAATTTGAATCTAAAATACTTGAATCTAAAATTGAATCTATAAACTCAATCCTATCGCTATCGCTATTCGCTATTCGCTATTAGCTATTAGCTATTAGTTATTAGCTATTAAAACCCACTTATAGCTACTTATAGCTACTTATAGCTACTTATAATAAAAATTATAATAAAAAATGGATTCAAATTTCAGCTTCTGTTTTTCTCAACTTCAGCTGCAAGTTGAAATTAATAAATCACAACCTTTTTTTAAAATTATTTAGTTTGATCAGTTATACCAATTATAAAAAATTATTTTTTAAATACATACCTACAGCTGAATGATCATTTCGTGGAGAAGGAACTTGACCGGTAGCAGTTATTAAAGTCCAATTAACTGCAACAGAATCAAATACATAGATTAAACTCATAGAGATAAGAGATTTACCGTCAGTACCTCCTAAAATAATCATCTTATTTCCAATAACACTAGTAGTATGACGTTCTCTCATTCCAGGAGAATTAGCCAAAGATGGTAAACCTTGCCAAGCAGATAATGAAATAGTATTAAAACTCCAAAAATCATATTCTACAAAACTAGTTTGACTTCCAGTTTCACTACCCACTTCACCACCATAAATTAACATATTTTGATTTGATAATATTGCAGCAGAATGTTTAAATCTTCTTATTGGTGTTGAAGAAATTGTTAATCGATTCCAAAATTTAAGTATTGGATCATAAACTGTTAAACTTGGCATAGCAGCAGAAGCAGGATCACCCACACCGCCTCCAAAAACCACAATTTTAGTATAATTTAAACCACCAGCTACAGCAGAATGATCATATGTTAATGGCATTCCTGTAGAATCTTGTTCTAACCAAGGAGGTATATTTAATAAGAAAGTATTTGATAAGTTAAGACTTATAAAATCCACGGTAAATCTATCACCATTTGTTTTTCCACCTACAAAATATATTGTATCATTTATAAGAGTAGCAGTATGACCGTAACGTGGATCAACTGACGAGATTGATTGAATTAAAGTTAGTAAAATAGATATTATGAATGACCATTTTAATAGAATGATATTATTATTATTATAAACTTTTAGTGGCATGGATTGTTCGGTGTGATGAAATATAAAAAAAAAAAACACTGACTACTCTTATACTGGATTACATGAAATCAGGATTCTTTTTTTTTTTATATATATATATTTTTTTATATAAAAAAAAACTCTAATATTATGATAAATAGAAAAAAAAAAATTATCAAAATTTTTTTTTTTTTGAAAGTATATTTATTATAAGGTTTAAAGGTAAAAGAAGAAACCGAAAAGAACTAGGATATAATTAATAATGATAAGCGGGAATCTGGAGCAATTATGTGGTGAGGCAAGCCCCTGAATTGAAATAAAAGGAATGAAGTTTAGTCAAAAAGAGCGGATTGTGCGAGTGAGGTAATTTAGTGTCGAGAGGGGAGGGAGTATTATGTAAATTAGTAAAATTAGATGAGGGTTCAAATTTGTTTATTATTTATATTATATGCGTGTGATAAGTTGATCAGTGTACATGTGTAAATATTACTGCGTAAAGACGAATATAGTTGTGATAATGAAACAATTTCCGAGAATAGTAATAGTAAAAATTGACAGTCAAACTATTTGATGTTTCAATTCGTTAATATCTTTTTTTTTTTTTTTTTTCTTTCAAGGAACATAACCATTATTCTAATATTATTCTAATAATTACGATTAAATATTGGTTCATTGTTGAGTAGACGCCAAAATTGGATAATAAGGAATAGACGCACTTAATTTCATCCTTAGTTATCACACCCAGTAGTTAAATAGTAAATAAATTACTGGATTAAAAACCTAATCTTTAATGTTTTTATGTGTAAACATAATGTGCAGTAAAATTTTTATACACTTGTTATCCTTTAATTCAAATGATCACTGTCTTTCTTTTTAGGTCGGTCAAGAGCCAATAAAGGCAATTTTTTGATAACATATAAACCATTTTGTTTATTGGTGTACAAAACAATTTGAAAAACGTCAATATAAAGATTGGTTGTTTTTTATTCAAAATATAGTTCGGGGAATCAATTATTTTTCAATAAATCAATGGAACACAATTTACTATTAAATAAATAAGTAAACCCGACATCATAGTTTGGAGCCTCCTGGAAAAGGTTGCTTTAAAGTTTGCTTAGTTTTTTCAGGCGTGAATTATCGGGGTTTTTTATATTCCAGTATTATAGTATTACTGTATTAGTAAAATTATTTATATAACAAAAATTATTTTTATTTCTCGTTATAACGTATACTGACTGTATGTATATATAGAAAAGTTATAATTATAGTAAAATATGATATTAATTTTTGACTTTGGTAATTATTTTTCAATTTGTATGCAGTTTAAAATTCATGAATTATTTATTTGTCTGTTATGGTATCCTTCGTATCGAATACAAACATCGAAAATATTACATACAGGAAGAATTATTTGTATTTTGTAACAAATTGTTTATTGTAAATTGTTTATTGTACGCGTATCATTGACCGATTATGATAAACAATTACCCTGTAATACTGATAGATTTAATCGACATTTAGATTTTGTCAAAATCTTAGTACTATAGTAACGTAGTTCAGAATCGGAGCTCATCCTCGCAACTGGTATTAATTTCTGGAAAATCAGAAAGTTGATGAGCGTATAAAAATATTCATTATTTCGGTTCTTAAATTAACGAAGCCGCGGAACTGAAAAATCTTAGGGATTGTTAAAAAAAATCAACAAAAAAGGAATCTTGTACTACAGTAGTTAATTAACAAATGTTTGTAAAACATAATACAAATTATTCAAATTCTGTGACAAATTCAATTATACGTATGATATAATGTTTTAATGGGATCAACCGAAATTAAATATGAAATGATTTTCTGTGTTAGTTATAATTTCGGTATAAACTGTGTCCTATCGCACCCTAATTCAGATTTAATCCTGACCCTGACGATAAAAACTTCATCGCGTTTTAATTTGTTTCATGTATGATACATGATTATGTTGCGATGATGAATATAGCCAGGGCGTTCCCCCAAAAGTGCCAGTGATGTAAATCATTTCCACCAATCAGGTAATAACATGCATAATATATTAAAATGATTTATGATCACTTAATGTTTATAGTTTTATCTGTCACTGGCACTTTTGGGGGATAACCGATTATAATCGCCACAGGCGATGTGAATTTTCTTTAATTAATAAAGCATTCAATTAATAAAGTATTTAATTAATAAAGCATTCAATTAATAAAGTATTTAATTAATAAAGTATTTAATTAATAAAGTATTTAATTAATAAAGTATTTAATTAAATTTAATTAATAAAGTATTCAGTGAAAAAAAAAACCTTTTATTTTTCAGTTTTGTAAAGAGAGATCGCGCGCGCGTTAAGCGTGAGAAAATTTGAAAATCCCTAGGTATATTCGAGGTTGATTAACCAGATTCACCAGATTCTACACGGGAAATTTGGAAATTTGAAAAGATCTCCTTTCGGGAATTATTAGCATGCCTTTTTTTGCTATTTCATTGAACGTTACGTGAATTTTATTATTTCATTGAATGTTACGTAAATATTATCATTTTATAAAAAAAAAAAAAAAAAATACTTCCATTTTGTGCGATCAACAAAATGGAATTACTTTTGGAAGTTCAAATAAATAATCTAATACCATTTTAAACCAATTTAATTCGAAAAACAGATTAAAGTTTTTATTAACTAACTGAAAATGCGTCTTTGAATAAAAACAATATGACTAGGTAAACAAAACAGATTCTGCTAATAAACATCATATCACAGTATCATGAGAGCATTTATAAACTAAAATTTCTATGCTGATGATGATTGACCATATGCATATTACTTTACTTAGTTAGTTACGTGCGGTTACTGCTCCAGGCAATTATGATTTTAATACTATAAACATTTTAAAATCTTACTACATTTATATATTATTTATATATATTATTTATATTATTTATATTGTAGACTCGTTTACTCGTACATTTCATAAAAATTGACGGCTTACAAATTTTTTCTTGTTGCCTTTATTCCATAAATTCATATATTTTTCATGCAATAGTGTTGCACAAATCTTTCGCAAAATCAACAAACTATTAATTTATGGTGCATATTTGACTTTATTTGTAACATTACAAATGCTGAAATGTATATATAAAGTTAATACCTACTTCTATTTTAATATATATAATTATATAATGCAATGCACATAATAAGATATAAACGTAGCATCTATTGGAGCCTACTCTTCATTAAAGTCTAAAAACTGTTAAAATTCTCATTTTATACCAAATGAAGTTACTTATAAAATATTTTTGTTTAATTTCTTTGTCGCAAAAAATTCTTAAAAATATTTTTTAGGATCTGTAATTAATAAACTTCATTTCAGATTTTGTCGTACGTATGTACATACACGTACGTACGTATTCTCCCGAATCAATACCGTAATATGTGAAAAGTAAGCACTCTACCCTGCTTTTTTCAATTTCAAAATAACTTGATTAAAGATTTTCCGCTAATATGAAATTGAAAAAAATTGGTTAAGAGGGTGCTGTGCTTATTTTCCACAATTGCGGTAAATTATATGCCTTTTTTTTTCTATAAAGGTGTAATTTTCGGTACTTTAATAAACACAAGAAATTTTGTTTACAAATAAAAATTTAGTTGCTACACTTAAAAGTTTATTATTATAATCACATGATATTTCTTCTATTTCTCTCTCTATGTCATCTCCCGTGACCTGTAATCACAAATTTGTTACGCATATTAACTTGCTTAATTATGCATTAACGTTAACGTTATCTTTTAATCCTAATGAGGGTACATTCTATAAAAAATAATTAGAATTTTTCAAAAGCATTTTTGTTATATCGAATCATAAACCGGAAAAATAAATTAGCTTTAACTTTAAAACTCTAATGTCAATTGAAATGCGCTGTCGATAAAATAAATTATCTATGAAATGATTTGCGGTAAAAATAAAATGTCTATGAATTTGTGAATCGATTATTGTAAAATAATCTTATTGGTAAAATTTTAAATTAGTGGACTTATAGATTTAATAAATTAATAGATTTAATAAACGACCCAAAATCTCAGTTTCAGTTGCAGCACTGGAATGGGGAATGGATAATCGAAAATGTCCAGTTATTGATTGGCTCTTAATAATGTCAAAGTATTGGTTTTTTCCAGCTCATTAGTGATAGAAAGTAGAAATAATGTAAGGATTATAGATCAATTATATAATTTTGATTTTATTTACATTTATTTATTTATTTAAACTAATAAAATAAATAAATAAATAAAATAAAATAAAAAATATATATATTTTTAAAACAATACTTTATATTACTATATTAATTTTGTTAATTGATTTTATTGGTTAAAGATTATAATTGAATATATGGATCAATAGAAAAGAGCAAATCATTTTTAGTAGCTTTTTTAAAATTTAAATTAAAATATTTAAACTAAAAAAAAAATAGCTCTAATAAGGTGATATTTCGAAAATAAGTGGGGTGTTTAAAAAATTCATCTCATTTTTGAAATTCCGAATCAAGCATATGATATATTATCATCACATGAAAAAAAAAAATAGAATTTATAGATCACTTTTCGTTATTTCGAAACAAATAAGTCACTAATTTTTATTCAAAATTGAATCACCCTAATACAAATCAAGAAAAATGTTTTTAGTTTAAATAAAAAAAAAATTTTTTTTCATATGAAAGTTACAATTAAAATTTATTTATTTCACAAGTTAATAATCAAAAATTTCTTTATATAAATAAGATAAATTTCAAGCATAAAGCTAAAGTAATAAACAAATATGTTCTTTCTATTTTATTAAACAGAATTAATATTGTAACAGTTAAATAAAGCAATATATAAAGCAATATAAAAAAATCATGATGGTAAATAACCTTAATACTGTATTAATGTTATAGTGTTATTGACTACTGAATAAAAACAATAATCTCGAAATTTTTTACGTTATATAGGTTTACAGTATAAATATATATATAATATATAATATGTATATGTATATAAAAAACATGCATTTGAAATATCTATCGTGCGTACGTACATATAACGCCCATCTGCATATTTCGAGTCTTTACGTGTAAAAAAATTGAGGGGTGCTTATCAGTTATTTCGTACATGCTTATAGTACAGCAGTACGTATGTACGTAACATGTTTAGGGGTATTTTATTTTTAGGTATGGTATAATTTTGGGGGTATTTATTTTCAGGGGTGTTTATTTTTGGAGGAATACGGTATCAGTACTGCATTATGTCTTATTATTAATCACGAACATTGATACGCGTTGCATAATGATTGTTTGTGTACGATGCGTTTAAATAATCGTCTATTTGCATTTATTGTGATAATTTCTAAATCAGAAAGTTCGAATTATTATGCATGTTGTTAAAAATGAACCACTTATAATTGTATGTACTAATTAATCGAAAATGTACATATGTACGTTACGTTTTACGAATATAAATCATTTCTATTTCTTAAAGTAATGTCGCATAACTTATCTCCGATGATGAATATTGAGCAAATTTTAGATGCATGATCAGATATTAAGGAAAAACTCAATCCCACAAAAACAAAGAATCTAACCCCCCTTTATTTAAGATATTTGTGACTGTTAGTTTTTTACGCATTTAGGTACAGTACTGTCTAATTATACTTGCAGAAGTGTCAATTCGATAAATCAGTAAACCTTTACCAAATGTTTTCTTTACAGTTTCTGAAATTCGTATAACTTAAATTATTGTACGTATGGTTATGCGTTCAACTCTATACTAAAACTGATCTTGTTAATAAATTTTAAAAATTTAAAGGTACAATATTTAATAGCTATCGTACAGATCTTATGTAATAACCCGTACAACATTAATAGAAAATGGGTTTTAATATTATTGTAATGTCATAATATGATTGTAATGTCATAATATGGTTGTAATGTCATAATATGATTGTAATGTCACTCATTATGCGTATCATAGTGTAAATAATAAAAAATATTCGATAAATGTAAATAATAAAATTATTCGATAAATGTAAATAATAAAAATATTCGATAAATGAATAGTACTTTCTTACAGAATATCGAACGATTGAATCAAAGTTTAGTAAGAATTTAAAAAAAAGTGAAGATTTGATAACTTATGACTCTGTCCAATAAAAATTTTAACCTAAAATGTGTGATTCTAATGAGAATTTTAAAGAAGCAAACGAAAACCTAATAATGTGTTATTCAATTCAATGAAATTTTAAAGAAAACGAAGACTAATTATATTATGTATCCATCCAAGATAACTTTAAAGAAAGCGAAACCTACTAATGTTATCACGCTGTCCAATGACGATCTTTAAAAAGCAAACCGGAACATTTTCATATTTTATCAATATGAAAATGTTCCAATTATCCGATAAAGGTGCTCTCAAGCACCTAAATTCATAGATCAGAGCTCGAATATAGTGTAAAATAGTTTAACCGATCAAGTGAGTTCATTATCGTGATGAAAAAAAAAAAAGATGGCCTCTGACCAACTTTTTTTATTTGTTAAATTTAATTCGAATTTCGTAACATGAATCTTTAGCAAAATTATCGTAAGGATTACTTAAATCACCGTATCCATCCGAAAATAAGCTCCCTTTTTTGCACATAATGCTGGCCAAGATAGTTATAATTCAGGCCAAATTTTGTATGATGCAGGCCAGGGGTGCTTATTTTCGGATGGATACGGTAATCGTAGTGGTAGTACTTGTACACGATCTCGGTCATTTGGTCCTGTTTTCAAAAATTCTGACTCATGCGTAGTTGGATTGGAGTCAAAATATTCGATTCTAGATCCAAAAGCCTATAGATTTAAACTGATTTGCCAAAACTTAATTTAATAAATAAGCTCGTGCTATTCTGAATTGTACTAAATGGTTATGGCTAGCGCTAGGCTTGGATCTATCCAATTAAAATATGTGTTATGAATTATTGGTATGTATCGATGCACAAAATCTGTTGTAAATCATTCGGAATTTCCGTTTTATTAAGCCGTAATTTTTAAGCGGTCGAAAAATTTTTCATCAATTTGGCATGCAAAATTTCACTGGCTATGAGTTTCTAAATCCAACTTAGTGTTCTCAAGCATCTTACTCAATGAATCGGGGGCAAAGCTTTAGTTAGTTAGAAATTGAATAAACTAACCAATTGAATTACTATTTTTAATCTAGAGGTGCAGGCATCTTTTTTTTCTTTCATAGAGTCGCTCTGATAACTGGTTAAAATTTTAGAATTCGCATTTAGCACAATGAATTTTTAACGATTAATCATAATGATTTGAACACCTCGATCATTAGCTAATCACATTGAGGGAGCACTTGAATGGAATCGGTTTAGTTAATTACTATGTTTAGTCGACGACTAAACATAATAGCTTACTATAAAAATTTTTTAGTCGACTAAACCGATTCCAATCCTTATTTGAAACACTCTTAAAATGACGTTATAAAAAGAAAATAAAAGAAGAAAAAAAAGCAGGGCACATCATTGCAACAATTTGCATGCTGATATGTACATATTTTTGATGAGACTTTAAGAAATCAAGCCTAGCCCGGCCCATGCGGAACCTTAGTTTTTTGATGAGACTTTAAGAAATCAAGTCTAGCCCGGCCCATGCGGAACCTTAGTTTCGATTTGGTTATTTTTAAACACCTGCTACTACGTATAAGAGTTAACATAAGAATGTACAATAAATACATCATTAAGATTTCATAAATGTCACACTCTGATTTTTAATAATAAACGTATACCATATCGCATTAGAAATGTGACCTCTACATACGTGTAGTGATCGTAGGAAGACATTCATATGATTGGCTAATTTGATCAAAATGTGATCATTAACAAATCATTAACAAATCAAATAACGAAATCTTCGTTGAGGTTTTTGATTTTTTTCAAAAGCTAGAAATAACTTTTTACAGTGACTTTTTATTGGTGAAACGATATTTCTAAAAAAAAGTACTTTAAACTGTATAAATAAGTTACCAGGCGATTGATTTACATCATCCAATCACACGAAAATCCTCCTATGAACGTATAATGATCCTGCCCGAACTTTAAAGGATAGGTAAATATCAAAAACTGTGTAAACAGACATAACATATGACCCCTTCATAATATTTTTTTTATAGGTTGACTTTTCACTTCTTAAATTTTTATTTAGGGCTCCTAAGTTAGATTCGAGTCCGGTTCGGTTTGAAACTCAAACTTCATAATTCCTGGAACACCTGATAAAAATTGGCCGATTGATTTTTCAGCCAATTCGATTAAGTTTGTAATTTCGGCATGATCCATATCAAAATGAATGTTTTACAGACCGTTGTAACAATAATGTCAGCATTATTAAATTTTCGATCGAATGCTTATCCAACATGTTTAGTGCGTAAATAAGTCTTAACAAGAAATATAAAAAATGTACTATATATTAACTAGACTTTTAAACTAAACATATTGCACGAAGTACATGTTAAGAGAAGATCCTGTATATAAATAAAATATTGTATATACAAGTTGGTTCGTAGCCCTTTAGGCCACGCAAAGTTGATTTTTCGTTTTGCATTACATGGATTTCAAAATTAGGGACGGACGGACGGACAGATTTTTTTTTGTATTTTTTTTTTTTAATTCAATTTACTGCAAATAGAATAATGATCATATTTAAGGTTATATTTGACAACAAGGAATCAAAAAATTGGGCCGCAGTCATATTTTTCCTGTCAGTCCTATCGGACAATAACGGGAAATTGAGGTCTCCATCGGGTGATACCGGATGAAAATAGCGGGAAAAAATAGATGTCAAAAATCAAACAATTGGCAAAATTGGGATCTAAAAAATATATATATTTTTTGAAAAATTGAAAAATGAGATGGCGGATAATGCAAAATGAAAAATCAACTTTGCGTGGCCTAAACAAAATAATGAAACTAATGAAATATCCGATGAAAAAAATAATGAAACTAATGAAATATCTGATGAAAAAAATAATGAACTAATGAAATATCCAATGAAAAAAATTGTAAAGACAATGAATTACCCAATGAAGTGTTCTTTTTTATAATATTCCTCATAAACAAGATACAAGAAAATGAAAATGAAATCGCTGTGAAAAACTATGAAATCAATAAACTGAAAACTGGTAAGTTTTTTGTTTATTTTTTTTTATTATGTCTTAATTATTATTAATTAATAATTGTTCATAGATCTCAAATATATCGATAAAAAAAATGAACATTTATATGAACAATTAGAGTTACTCTACAAACTATCAAAATAACATTTCAATATAAAGATATTTCAAATTGCAAGATGTTTTCATGATGAACAAGTTTAGATAAAAAAAAAATTAGTTGTCTATATATATATTTGGTTAACATAAAGAACAAAATTTTATTCATTTGTAATCATACAATGTTTTATTTTTTTTTTGAAAGATTTATTTTTCCTTATACATACTTTGAATAAAGACAACATATATTTTAATAGACTAACTACAAAGTTTTTTTTTGTGACTTAATTTAAATCGTTAGAAATTGATTCAAATAGTGCATCAACATTAAATAATTGTGGATGTTCTTATTTAAAAAAATAGAAAAAATCACTTGTAGACTTGAATAAATTATTAGAAATTGATCCAAATAATATTCAGAAACAAAATTGAAATCATTATCAAAAGTTGGGTAAATATAAAGAAGCACTTGCGGATTTTAATACATATTTTGAAAATTAAACCAAATGATATATAGATATTAAAGTTTTGTTGCCAAATTCATCGAATGCTAAAACAGATATAATGAATCACTTGCCTGTTTAAATATATTACTAAAAATTGAGCCATACAGTATAATAAAATAACTATGGAATAACTTATCAAGATATAACAAATCACTTGTAGACTTAAATAAACTGTTAAAAACCATACTAACCAATACAATATTATGCCTAACATATTAAAAAATGGACAGGTATAAAGAATCACTTGTGGATTTAAATAAATTATTAGAAATAAATTCAAACACTGTAATGGATCTATATAATTGTGAAAAGTTTTTTTATAGGTTAGGTGGGCTTAAAGAATCACTTATGAATTTAAATAAACTATTAGAAATAGAACCAAATAACAGTTTTGCATTGGCTATTCATGAACTCATTCTTAATAATTGCTTTTTAAAATTAGCAATATTTTTTTAAATAATATAGCTACAGTAAGTATAAACTTTATAAAACAGATTTTATAGCCAGTTGGGAAACTGTAGAAAACAATTCACCAAGGAGAAAATTGAAGAGAAAAATTATGATATTTGGATAAATAGAAAAGTAAGTTGGGTCTAATTTTGGCTTGCCAATAAAAAGGTAATATTTTTTCACAAAAATTAATTAAAAATAAAGATAATTCACAAAGACAGCAGGCTATTTTTAAGTATTTATAGCAAATTAGATAGCAATTGATTTTTATTGCATGGTCTTATGTAACAACCTGTACTTTTTTCATTTACTTATTAGCACAGAATTGTATGTCAGACACTGTGCAATAACTATAACTTATTGCACTTTACTAAAAATAAAAAAAAGACAGATAATACTTTGGTGATCTCCTAAAAATAATAATATGTGTCAGTGTTGGCTTCTGGTTTGCCTTTGTCTATTTTTTTTTTTAGCAATTTTTTTTTCTTCTAATTAAAAGAAAGACTAATAGTTATTTATAATAGTTTGCATTTGCCTAGCAAAATTAATTGGGAAATAGAAAAAGAAAATCTAATATGTTTATCTACAAATAGGCAGATATGGAGAATTGCTTATAGATTTAGATAAATTACTATAAATATATATTATACAGTCTACTCTTTCTATAACGAACCCTCGGTTCTGGCCAAAAAAAAAGTTCATTATATAGAATTACTATGTTTTCTTAATAGCCGTAGCTCTTGTTATACCGAACTAATATTAAAATTTAGAAAATTTGGGTTCATTATATCCAGAGTTCGTTATAAAAAGGTTCATTATATCCAGAGTTGACTGTATACTCAAATAAAGTAGCAATATTAAATAATCATAGATTAGCTTATCTAATAATAGAAGATAAAAAGAATCACTTGCAAATTTTAATAAATTATTAGAAATTAAACCTGATAATGTAACTACTTTAAATTACTATGGATTGGTTTACAAAGTTATAAGAAAACATGAAAAATCACTTTTAAACAACTTGTTGGAAAAATGATTTAGATAATTTAACATATTTAAACAATCACAGATATTTTTATCTAAAGATGGAAAGTCCCTTAAAATTTAAACAAATCATTAGAAGTCGAACCAAATAATGTAGTAGCATTGGCTAATCATAAATATACATACCAAATATTAGACAAATATGAAAAATCCTTTGCTGACTTAAATAAATTATTAAAAATACAACATAATTATATATAGTGTTTGTAGTCAATTTTGCATTAGTCAATAAAATTGGCTTAGCCAGCTTAGTTAGCCAATTTTTTAAAAAATCGACTTAGTCGACTACAATAGGTTATATATGTTATAGACCAAATTATATTAGTATCTGAAAATCTCTGAAAAAAATTAAAGTTTAGGCAAAAAATTTAAGAAAATTTCCAAAGTTTAATAAAATAAAGCTTCAAATAATCGACTCTAACTTAGCTGGCTAAGCCGATTTTTAAATATTAATTTAGTCAAGTTGATAAATAATAGTTGACTACAAACACTAATTATATAATTGTAGAGAAACTTGTTGGGTAATAGAAAGATATAAAGAGTTATTTAAAGATTTAAACAAATCATTAAAGGTTAAGCCAAATAATGCAATAGCATTAAAGATTTGTGAAGAGACATATAGAAGGTATTAAGAATCATTTACAGACTTAAATAAGTCATTAAAAATCAAATTAGATAATGCAATAAATTATAGTTATTGTATGGGTATGTAGTAAATAACCTATTTATACACGGGTTCATATTTAAATTCCATGGCCAAAGGCCATGGAATTTAAATATGAACCCATGTGAAAATAGGTTATTTACTACATACCCATACAATAACTACATTATTATACGGGTCTGATGTAACAACCTATGTAATTAATAATAGACTTTTTTTATTAATATTGATTAAGCTATTGATCACTTTTAAATTATATTTTATCAATTAAATAAATTGGTAATATTTTTAATATTTTTTTTTTTTCTCATGCTCTCTTTCTAATATATGTTTTCTTTTTGTATACATATCTTTTTTTATATACTCTTTTAATATACACTTTATTGTTCACTTTATTTACTGTATACCAATAAAAAAAATAAGCACTGATTTGGAAGAAGAAGTTTAGATGTTTTACAAACTTATCCTGAGTTACTAATGCTGATAAAAATACAAAAAAGTGGCTTTGGCATGTTGACCAATATAGAAAAGAGCAAAACATTGAAAAAAAATTAAGTGAAATTAATAATAATAAAGAGCTTGATACATATCTTAGTTTGTTTGTTACTTGGCTCAAAAAAAAAGATAAAACCTCTTTCAAGGTTGAGTCTATGCATAACTGTTATGCTGCTCTGTCACATCACTTAAGAGAAAATATAGTTATTCAAGGTGGAGTTCGGATATGAAATAGATACAATTTTCCAAAAGCATTAAGGTGTTTAAATGGAAAAATGTGATCTTTACAAAATAGTGGATTTGGAAATACAGATTAAAGTAGTGCTCTAACTTCTGATAAAGTTGCTTCTTGTCTAAACCATACCTTTTTATTTATTAGTAATAATAAAAGTTTAATTCAGCGAGTTATCTATATTATGTGGACTTAGAGGAGGAGATACATATAACTTACAATATCGAAATATTGAAAGATGTCAAGATAGTGGATTGCAATTACGGCTTAGAACAAAAAAAAAATAATCAGTGTGGCATTTTTTATTGACAACATTATAGACATACTAGCACTAGAACTATCCTGATTCCACCTGATGATAGCAAAAACAAGTTTAAACTAGTTAATAACATATTGTTATATTTGTCTAAATGGCCAAATGAAAGTCAGGTTACTGATGCATTGTTTTTAGAGTGTGTACACAAAAAAGGTGATATTAAAAAGGGAATTTGGTATCGATTATCATTAATGGGTACAAATAAACTCAAAAATATGTTACATCAAATTGCTTTAAATACTGGAATAAAACTTAATGATCGCAAAATTACCAACCATAGTGCACACCATAGTGCAATTATGATTTTTAAGGCAGCAGATGTATCTGAAGATAAATTAATGAATTTTTCAGAATATAGATCTCGTGAAGATATTAGATTATATAGCAAGCCTACTGATGATCAACAATTGAATTCTATAGCAATGTTAATTCTAAATACAACAATTGATGATGATCTTGAAGAATTTTATTTCTATCCGGGTGAATTGTATACCAATTATGAATCAGAGAATGATGATGATAATGAGATAGAAAAAGATATAAATCAGGTTATCTGACATTTTATATAATCATGTGAATTTTTTTGCCATAATATTTTTTGCATAATAAGTTTTGCAAAACATCACGGAAAAAACTTCACATGGTCATATTAACTATCAGATAATATCATTATTGAACATACATACAACAAATAACAGCAAATTGTTTTTTTTCATCAGAGTTAATTTCACTCATATGCTGCTACGCAGCACATGGAGTGACATTAATTCTGACAAAAAAAACAATTTGCTGTTATTTTTTGTCATCTGTCCAATAATGTACACATATTTTCACCATAACAAATAAGAATTCAAATGAATGCAAAGGTAAAAAAAAAAATTCAAAATAATTTGTTATTTTTTTTATTTATAAACTTTAATTACTAATATGAATTTAAAAGAATAAATTAAACCTCAAAAAAAGCCTAAATTATCAAAAGTTTCAAGATACAAGTCAACCGTCTATAAACCTTTTAAACCTCCATTCAAGTTATCAAATTCAAGTGCACTATCAAGACCCCAAAAACAATATCCCAATTTAATTGCACCATTAAAGCCTCAACACCAACCACCTAATTTAATTGCATTATCAAAGCCTCAACACCAACAATTTAATTTATCAAAACCTCAACAGCAACTAATCAAACAGCAAACTTCTACTCAAACTCAACAGCAACTAATCGAACAGCAAACTTTTACTCAACAGCAAGTTTTTATGAATCCACACTCATAGCAAATTCTTACTCCTATTACACAAAACATTATATTGCAAATTCCAGCTACTGACAAGCCCTTAACAATT